ACTGAGGATTTCTCCACTGACCACTATACTTGTTATTTGTCTGTTCCTGTAAAGTTTGTCTGTCCCCATGTGCTCTTAATGCACACTAATTGATGATGATCTGCAGAGCAACTCACAGTAACAAAACAAAAACAAACAAAAAAGAAAGGGAAAGAGAAAGAGTATTATCTTTGGAAAAAGATCTCTTCTATGACATGTGAATTTCCTTTGTTTTGAGCTTCACCAACTGTTTGCATTCACAAATGGTTCACAAATTAAACACAATAAATGTGATTAGACAGACACTTACCAGAGCGTGGCCAAGTGGAATGAAATCAGTGTGAAACAACTTCACCAAGTTGGCTTCAATTGCAGTCACAGCAGATGATGCACTGATTTTCCCATCCCTGTGAAATCTAAGAAGGAAAAAAACAAAGAACAATCAGATTGTACCCATTTTTTTTCAACCAATACTCTCAATTACTGAGACTACATATAAAACAGATTTTTCTTTTTTCATCTTCCTGTTTTCTTCTGTTGCTAATGTAGATGTGGTGGAGGCAAATACACATCAAACAAAAAACCTGGCATATGGGAAGATTACGGCCACTGCTCTAGTCAACCAGATGCCCCTGCCATTGTGGCTGAGGAACAGATATTGCCTGCACAAATCAGCATCTCAGCCAACCAACGGTGTTGGGCTTCTCCTCCCTCATCTGCTTTTGGAATCTGGCAAATGAGGGTAAATACTCCCAAAACTGAAGAGCAAACCAAACAGAAAGAAAAGTTAAACAGGAACTTTTTACTGGTTCTTCAATCAGATGGGCCAAGAGTTAGGGACTGATTGTTTACAACACAAAGACAGAAGGCCTCACCTTTACAAGCCATTTGAAGTTGCAAGCCTAAATGTTTGAAAAAGTATTCTTCACCAGAAATTAAAATACAAGTTCCTGAAGGCAGGGGCAACCAATGATGAACCCTGAACCTCCATTGTTACAACCACTTCCACAAGTCATTAATTAACTCTCACATATTTTGACAGAACGGTTGATTCATTTTAATACTGTATAATCAAAGAATCTTAGGATGTTATAATCACAAAATAAACAAGAGAGCTAGTCAAGGCAGACTATGATAACAAAAGAGAATAAATAGAAGGCTTACCCCTATCCTGGGCTCACTCACAAAACACCAGCAGAGCAGATCTCCAGGAGAGATCCATCCCCACTGGCAGCCAGCTCTTAAATGGGTCTAGGAAGGGTGCAGCCAGGCTCCACCCCTTCCTGCAGCACAGGTGAATTGCCTTCACTGTGCTCCTCTGGCTGACTCATGGCTCGCCTCAGGTGATCCATCAGAGGTTCAGGCCCTGACTCAGCACTTCCCATACAAATATCCATATTGAATATTGCTGCATAAACAGGTAACCAGCAACCTCTGCACACTGTGAAACAATCTGTCCAGTTGCTGACAGGATCAATGTTACTTTTACTTCTCATTGTACAACACCAGCTGTGTCACAGTTATGGATCAATTCTGCTTTTATTTAGTGCCTTTACCATCTGGGACAGAATGCAGAATAGAACTACAGTTTTCTGTTTTTCAGTACCAGTCAGAAAGTGAGAAGTTTTTCAGCCTTTGAAAGAGGGCCGTCACTTGTGTTCACTAAGCAATGCTGAGAACTGAGCTTCTTTAGCTAAAAAAAAACACCACTGCCACCAACAGTCTGGACAGTATGTCTGCTTTCAATAGCTGCCAGGCATATCTGCATTTGTGCAAGGGTTTGGAGTCACCTATGTGTCAGGTTTGGCAAGGCTGCACTACACTAGGACTAGGAAATGCTCCTTGATGGGATTTCCCTCCAGATCAGATGGAAATATCAGACTGCTTTCATTTTGCTTCCACACTGGTTCACAGATGAGCTATGGGGAAAAAGTTCTAGACAATTCTCTACAGCTTTTACTCAAAGAAGAGTGACCTTGAATTCTAGCTTTCTATACAACTGAATCTCAAGTGCTTGTAAGTGAGAAATTCAGTAATTCCATATAAAAATAAGAAAAATAGCAGATACAAGAAGCTACAGAAACAGAAAATAGAAAATTCTTCCTCTGTATTTCCCCTGTGCATAAAATACAAACAAGCATCCTACAATGTATGACTTCTGGGACACAAGATCAGACATGAGGACTATCTGCTAAAAAAGGAGTAATATTATTAGCTGTGTTCTGTGTCTACAAACTGAACTGCTAGTGAAGAGATGCAGGCACATACCAATGGCCTGAACCACCATATGAAACAAGTGGATGAAAATGTTCACTTATTCACACGTGGCTTTTCTACTCACATTTTACTAACGTTCGGCTGAATTTCATCATTGCCTTGTATGAGTTTTTTTGAATTCCAACAACAGAGGGCAGCACTATAACCTGTTTCAGCCTGACACCAGACTCAGAAAAAGTCCTTTTGCCGAGGGCTGTCTTTGCTGTTTATCACAAAGGTTAACTTAGGATACTCCTCTGACACTGGGCACAGGCCCAGCAGTTAGAAGCACTGTCTACTTAGTAGGTATCTCCAGCTTCCCGAGTCACCCCAGCTATGGAAGGCCATGTATCCTGGCACTATCCCAGCCTGACCTATTCAGGGGAAAAACAATCCTGCTTCAGAAGGCCAAAGCTAAAATAAACCCATGCTTGCTGGAGAGCAGAGGGGAGGCAAGGAAAAGCAGCCTATGCAAATGCATGCTTCACATCCTCTGCTGTAAGAGACCTCCTGCCACCCCCGCTACTACTGGCTGAAGCTGAGAACAGCCTCCCCTGCTGAGCAATGCCCAGTAGGAGAAAGTGCACAGCTTTAGGTTAGTTTTCCCCTAAGCTGTGCCAAGATCTCTTCTGCTCACTGGAAATGAGGGTGCTGTAGAAGTCGAGGAGAAAGGGGAGGATGTAACGACAGATCTGCTTAGGACACTTTTATAGCATATACTCGTTCATACCTACCTATAATACAACTGTACATGCTAGACGTATGAATTCCAAACAGTGTAGCAACATTTAAGAGTCTATAATAAATGTTAGTGTAATCAGTATTTATTTCTCATGACTTATGGGCAAATACTAAAAAGTCTTTTGTTTTTTTTCCCTTTGAATCAGAGGTTGATAGCTTTTCTTGTGCTCCTGCACCAGACGTATTCCCAAAAAGCACTACCCAAGCAATGACTGAAACACAGATTATGTTTTTATCACGCTGAGGCAGAATGCCTCATCATCTATTTCCCAACTTCTTCTTCCCCATCATTTTTTTCCCCTCTCATACCCATACTCAAGGATTTCAGCTGAAAAAAAAAAAAGAGAGAGAGAGAAAGCAAATAAAAGTGAATAAAACCAAGAGATTTTAATCTTTTCAGATCCTCCATTCTTCCTGATGCCTTCATTATTCATCACTATGAATCACTCTCTAAGCTGGATGACACTCACTCATTGAGTGTTCATCTCTGCCTTTCATCTTGTTCCTAGAGTTGCACGTATCAGCTGCAAATCTTGGTGTTCCATTCCTACATACTAAGGCTGACGTGTTTTTCCCCATGCATCCACACAGACAGCGCACTGATTCAAGGTCTCATCAGGGTTAGGATTAGTTTCAACATTTCTCTGTCTGCTCTGAGAAACGCAGTCTTAAAATCCCACTATACATCTAGAACGTACTGCATAAACATAACCCACCATCTTTCCTGTATTATCCCTGTCTTTGCATCCTTCCAGTAGCTCACAGTTCTCCAACACATGATGGGAGTTACTCTTTGTATTCTTACAGCCGAGCACAGCCCATTGTGAAAATGCTGGCTCCTGTTTCCAGCCAGACTGATCAGGCTGTGAGATTGGTCTTCAGTTTGTATTGGTTACATTTTCAGACTGCCATTTTGTGCTTCCTCCCAGGCTTCTACACTTATGTAAGAGGAACTCACTACAAACACAAACCAACCTTTTACATGGAGAATATACTGCAACCCCACAAATCTTTTCTGAAAACAAACCAGAAGAAAATACATTTCTTCTTAGCGTCGTGCCACTACTTTGTCTACCCACAGCTTGTCTGTGCTGGGGGGGGGGGTCAGCACTGTCTTGCAGACTGCTTGTGCTCCCCCTTGTGTCTGCTGTCGGACGGAGACTGCTGACTTTTGAAAAAAAGCGTTCTTGTGTCTGGCCCAACCTCAGCACTAGTTTCCTAGGGTTCAGCAATGCAGAGAAACAAGAATACACAACAGCTGGTAAAACTTTCATCTCATGTAGTGTTTCAAGAAAATGCAGAACGCTAAGCACCAACGAATTCCATGAAAAGCCAAGCTGCTTTCACTTTTTCTTTAATGACATTTCTAGCTACTGGAAATCCCTATCCTTGTTTGGCGGTACTGGTAGAGTTAGTGAAAGGTCCCTTACAGAGTGCATTTGATCTCCTACAAGTAGAATAAAAAGGCTGGACTGTCATATACATGGAAGATCTAAATAGGCATTTGGAGCAAAAATAAATCAAAAAACACCACCCAGAGCAGCAAGCACATGTCCTGGTCTAGCCCATTATTTTAACACTGTTAACACTGAAAGTTGAATATCCCTTGAAACTAGGCATCTGGGTACTGGCAAGGGAGATCAGAAGCATAAAACGTGACTGCTCACTTCTAGTGCATTGCTTTATTTAAATACTGGCAGATGTGGATATATAGCATTACTGCTACAGAAATACATATCAAACCAAAGAACTTATGTGGAACAGAATAATGATGTGTAACAGTAACCTCAAAAACTAGCTGGAATTTTTACGATAAAGGCTTTACTAAAATTTATTGTTCATTTAGAGAAAATGAAAAGCAGCGTAAACAAGCTAAAATGAAGATGGTGGGGAAGAAGCAGGTGAAAGACCCTTTTGGGCTAGACCCTTCCCACCACAGTCCCACTCCAGGCCCTACTCCCCTCCCTCCCAATACCACCCTGCTGCCACTCACTGACTCCAGTCAGCAGGGCAGTGGCACACACCTGCCTGCATGCAGTGAGGAGACCTCGTCCAGCTAGGCAGCACTGCAAACACTGCCATCCTGTGGGTTCCTGTGAAACCAGCAGCAGAAGCCCTGAGATGTCAAAAGGATATTTACTTCCCTGTGAAAAGACAAGATACCACACCTACTGAGTTAAGCACACGGAAAAAAAAGCGAAGATCAAGAGTAGCTACACCTGTTAAACAATGAACCCTGTAACTCACAGTCTAACTTTAGGGAGCCCCTGTGCTTCCAGCTTGCACCTGCTTTCAGTTCTTGCTTGGGAAAAAGGCCTTTTCAGGTAACCTCTCTTTCCATTTCTTAGAACTAGGGAAAGACTCCATCTTGCTCATGGTGGCTTAGGTGTGCAGCGTTAAAGCTGCTGTTGCTGAGGTTCATGAGAAAAGACCTCTACCTCAGAGAGCAGCAGAGAGCAAGAGAGGCTGGGGATCAAATTTACAGTCTCATTGCCTTGTGCTAAACACAGACGTCAGTGAGATTTGCTGTCCTGGAGGGAATGTCTCTTCATGGAACAGCCAATCTTTTAGCACCTACATTAAGATGAATTCTATTTCCATTATTGATACTATATTACTGAATTAAGGCTGACCTCATTAACCTTAGCTTTCCTCAGTACAGCATCATCCTAGAACCACATATGATGACTGTTTTAAGGCAAATTCCTTGGTATACACTTAGAATTTTTTACACTGGCTTTCACATAACTACTCCATGCAACAGCGAATCACAAGGTTGTACAGACATCAGGCAGGGGGAACATGTGAAGAAGGCCACGTAACCCGCATTTGAGACTGAAGTGCTTCCCTCTGCATTGAAGAGAGGTAAGGTTTTGCTGCAGTCCTCACTGATCTCTCACACAGTGTGCGAGTCAAGCAACCTGAGCATTTCCAAGCACGTGCTTCCTGGAGGGGTGACTGACTGCAGTGCTTGCAGAGGGTCTGACCTTGCCGGGTTGAAACCAGGGCACGTTGCCTCGTCTATGGGAAGGCAGCCTCTGGAACATGCCGGGATGTTGAAGACCTCAAGGCTGGCAGGCTCACACTGCATCAGACACGAGGAGATTCCATGTCCTTGCCTTGCAGAGGCTGCACCCGTTTCTAGTTCCCCCAAATGCTCACAGACACGTGCACACTGCCACATTGCTGCAACAGGTTGCCCAAAGAGGCTGTGGATGCCCCATCTCTGGAGGCATTCAAGGCCAGGCTGGATGTGGCTCTGGGCAGCCTGGTCTGGTGGTTGGCGACCCTGCACACAGCAGGGGGTTGAAAATAGATTATAATCGCAGTCCTTTCTGACCCAGGCCACTCTGTGATTCTATGATCACTTTCCCCGGTGGCTCGGCAGCCCGACGCCCTCCCGCAGCACGCACCGCAGAGGTTCGAGGCCACGCACACAAAGCCTGCGCCTGCAGCACCCTCAGCGCCGGCCGCCAGCCCCTACAAACGGTTATTGCCGCCCGAGGTATTCCTGCAAGCTTTCTCGGTCCCCTCGGGTGCCTCCTGCGAGCTATTAATACAGCAGGCACATGCTCTGACATCGCGTTCCCCACAGCCGCCAGATAACTTTAATTTGCCCTTTAAACGTCCCGAGACCGGCGGCCCTCGCCGTGCCTCCAGAGGAACATGGCGGCGCTGCCTCGCGCCCCCCAGCGGGGGCGGGCCCTGGGGGGTCCCAGCCAATGTGCGCTCCCCGGGGGCCGCCTCCTCCTATCGCGAGAGGCCGCGGGTTATAAGCGGGGCGGCACGGGGCTCTGGGCCATTTGGCCGGCGGGGCGCGGCGGGGGGCTGCTGGGTGGGGAGGTGCGTGGCTCGTTGGCTCTCTCCGGGTAGGGGGTGTTGGACCGGTTCCCGGCATGGGTGACCAAGCGCTCAGCTTTCTCAAGGACTTTTTGGCCGGCGGAGTCGCCGCCGCCATCTCCAAGACGGCCGTCGCCCCCATCGAGAGAGTGAAGTTGCTGCTGCAGGTGAGGAGGCGGGGGGCGCGGGGGGCTGCGGGCGGCGGAGCCCGACGGAGCTGCGCCACAGGTGGATCGGGCGCGACCCGGCGTGCCTAAATATGGGAAGGCGCTCGGCCGGCTCCGGTTTCGCGGGAGCTGCCCGGGCTCCTCGGGGAGCGGGAGCCGGGCCAGGCGGCGGACGGGCGTTCGTTGCCCTTAGCCGGCCGGCGTGCGGGGTGACCCTGCCGCGTCCTTCTCCCTGCCCTGCCCTCCCACCCTCCTCTTGCTTTTCCAGGTCCAGCACGCCAGCAAACAGATCACAGCGGAGAAACAGTACAAGGGCATCATCGACTGCGTCATCCGCATCCCCAAGGAGCAAGGCATCATCTCCTTCTGGAGGGGCAATCTAGCCAACGTCATCCGCTACTTCCCCACCCAGGCCCTCAACTTCGCCTTCAAGGACAAGTACAAGCAGATCTTCCTGGGGGGAGTGGACAGGCACAAGCAGTTCTGGCGCTACTTCGCGGGCAACCTGGCATCTGGTGGCGCGGCCGGAGCCACCTCGCTCTGCTTCGTCTACCCGCTGGATTTTGCCAGGACCCGGCTGGCGGCTGATGTGGGCAAAGGAGCAGCCGAGAGGGAGTTCACGGGGCTGGGCGACTGCATTGTCAAGATCTTCAAGTCCGATGGCTTGAGGGGCCTGTACCAGGGATTCAATGTGTCTGTCCAGGGCATCATCATCTACAGAGCAGCCTATTTTGGGGTTTATGACACAGCCAAGGGTAAGAAGCGGATGGAGTGGTGGCTGCGCGGGAAGATCCAACCAGAAAAGGCCTGCTAAGGCACCCTGCCCTACAAGGATGAGCAGGGCTGGGCTTAGTACTGCTTTGGGGGAACTAGTGCTGGAGTATGTGCGTGTGTTTCTGAAATGCATTCCTGCCTTCCTCAACTTGCTGCTCCAGGCAGAAGCTGTGGGTTTGCAGTTGCAATTTTTTGTTGGTCTTTTTCCTAAATGTTTATATGGGAGCTTGTCCCTCCTTGAAGCCCCCAGAGGGCTGTGCCTGAGAGCTTCTGGTCAGGGAATGGCAAGTAGTCTATAGATCACAAAATACCATAATCCTATAAACTTTTTTCACTCAGCAGCTGTTCACTGTCAAATACAAAGTGAGAAGTTGCAGGCATGCTCCTGTTGACTAGACTGAGTGACTTCTGGGTTTGGTGGGTGACTGCTCCTTCCAGAGCCATCTTTCTCATAATGCTTTCCCTTCTGTACTCACTCTTAATTTGTTCTTGGTGGCAGGTATGTTGCCTGATCCAAAGAACGTGCACATCATAGTGAGCTGGATGATTGCCCAGAGTGTCACTGCAGCAGCAGGGTTGGTTTCGTACCCTTTTGATACTGTGCGACGTAGGATGATGATGCAGTCTGGACGAAAGGGAGGTAAGAATTAAGTTTGTTCCTGTGGTGTTCTGGCAGTATTATTTCATTAAAGGGTTAAAGTATTATTTCATTAGGATGCAAGGTAGTGGTGTAGTGGTGTTTAGCTTTTGTGAGGGATTTCTATGAAAGGGCTGTTGGTTTTCCACAACCTACAGGAAACTTCTGGTTATGTTTTAGTACACTCTGCAGTAATTTCTGGTTATCTCAATGCGGTCATCTATGAGACTGAGTGTTTATTTTAGATTTCGTATGGTGAATTAAAATGACTTTATGAACTGATTATTTCATTTGAAATTCTTATGTTTTGTTTATCCCTGCCTGTTTTTCTAAATATGAAATTGAAACAGACTTGCTGTGTAGCTCAACCCTATGACCTTCATTTGTTTCCACAGCTGATATTATGTACAAGGGCACAATTGATTGCTGGAAGAAGATAGCAAAAGACGAAGGATCCAAAGCGTTCTTCAAAGGTGCCTGGTCAAATGTGTTGAGAGGCATGGGTGGAGCTTTTGTACTAGTACTTTATGATGAAATCAAGAAGTATGTCTAAAACTTAACATCCTAATGTAGTTCAGTTGTTCTCAATTAACTTTTTAAAATAACTACTGTGATGTAATGGACAACAAAATATTTCCTAGGGAAACAGAATAAGACTTGAGTAACATCCAGTTGAGAGAGGGATGCATTTAAAATCTGTCCACTACAGCACTTTGTATGGAAATTCCTCCAACATTTACATTGGAAGCTATGTATATATTATACCCTTTCAAATTTCAGGTAAAGCATTTTGACTAGAGATGAGATGTAGGTGGTATACACCTAGTTTAAAATCTAATGTAAACTCAAAGTGAGAAATACCTTTTATACTAAGTAATGTTTCTAGCTACTCATCACCATGATGATACAACATGATTTTATAAGCCATGTCACCTTCTTTGAAGTTCTTATTTTTTTAATCTGATATGTAAGCATAAATATTTGCAAACTATAACACAACAATGGGCTGCAAGTTCCTAATTGCTGCCTTTTCACTGACAAGTTAGGCAGTTGTGGTCAAAACCAGACCATAATGACTGTTTTCAATTGTACTTTGTAGAAGGTGGAAATATTGTTAAAAATACCCTATTCTCACAAAGCAAGAAGTTGTCTGCTCTGATGTTCAATTGAACTAAAACTGAACTCATGAAATAAATTAATATATATGAACTCTTCCTGTTGTTTTCACTGTAAATGGAACAGATCTACCAGAACTAATGTAGTTGGAGACACTCTGGGTTAATATTGGACATGTCTGTTAAGAACTTTTCATGGTTATTCACTATGGCATTTTTATAGTGGAGTATTCAGCTGAGGCTTCTGGCTTTACCTGTTTTATGAGCAGGAGAAAAGGGACAGCAATGATCCTCCAGATTCTGTGACTTGGCATCTAGTTCTCCCTTTCCTGTACTTCAGATTTCTCAGATCTGTCACTTAACATGATGGTCCTTATGGGTGTGAATGCTGTCTGTGAAAGCAGCAACAAGGTACTGAAGTTACAGCTGGAGGCATTTCATCCACCCAAAGAATAGCAGCATTCAGGGAAAGTTGTTCTTAAAAATAATAAATTTTCAGATTACCTAAAGATGTACAGCTAACTGGTGGTTGCCCTAGTAAAGGAAGCCCCTTTGCTTAAACCACAGTACTACTATAGACTTGGACAAATGCTTCATTCCTGAGCTTCTAGGGTCATTTTCTGCTCTATCTCCTGACAGATAGTGCCTCTTTAAATGTGTTTTCTGCCTGGTGGCAAATAACCAGGGTTGTAACCTATTGAAGCATAAGGTTGCGAAGAAAATCAAGGTGTTTACTGCAGTAGTCTTATAAATCATGGCCTGCATGCTTGTCTTTTCTTCTTCCTTTGCGTATTCCTAAGAGAAAGTTTGCCAACACACTAACCATTCATCTCACCAAAGTGAGTGCATAGGGCATTTAGTATCTTCTCCAAGATATTCAAAACAATGTCCAAGGTACCAAACTTTGGGGGTAATTTATGCATGAAAAAATACTAAAAGAAGAGAAAGCAGAATTTCCAGAAGGGTCTAAATAAGAACAAACATCCTGGATTTTATTTAATTCTAGAAAAAAATATGCTGAAACATTGCAGAAAAGGCAAAAAACAAAATGGAGTGAAGGCTATTCAGAAGGGAAAAAAAAATCATTGCAGGAAAATTCCTCTGGAGAAGAAACAGTAGGTGAAACAATACATTAGAAAATACAGATTAAAAAATCCTTATTTCTGCTTATGTGCTCACACACACACTTTGGCATTTAACAAGCAGCACTTTCCTCAAAGATACTTGGTGTACGAACTCAAAAATCATCAGTTGAATAACCACTCTCCTAAAAGCAGCACTGTTTCCTCAGCATAAAATCCAGTTTTCTGCAAAGCTGGAAAGCAGGCAGCTTTGCAGGCAGTTTTGCAGACACTTTGCTACTACAGTGAAATAAGCCCTCCGCTAGCACCACTTCAATCCATCTGCACCTCAAAGTTATTCAGCAGAACCCTGCGCTGAAATCATCACCATTACCTTGTAACTCAAACAGAGGGAAATATCTTGAATATCTGGGAAAAGATTCTAGAAGTAGAGAAAGACAAAGCCCACCCACCCACCACCACGCATGTGTGGACTGTACCACACAACCCAGAAAGCAACCCAGTGAGGGAGGGCACTGAGATTTATCTTTTGGATCAAGAGGTTAGGACCTTCAGGGTGGATCTGAAAGGGAAACCTCGCTCTCTAAAGAACACAGCATACTGCAGAGAGTGGAAGGGGAAGAATTTATGTCCACAAGTAGAGTTTTCCCTACCTTTCTGCAGGTGAAAACCTGTGTTCTCAGCTCTAGGTTTGTTATGGAAGGAACAGCAGCCACCAGTTTTTAAAAACAAACAAAAGAAAACAGAAGAATTTAAGGCACGCTGAAAGGCACAGCAGAAGAAAAACCCTAAATGATACTTGCTCAGCCCTGTTTTTCCTTTCTGGCTCTTTAAACTAAAAAAATCTCTCAACAGTATGTTCTAGTCTTAAGAAGTAGTGTGTGGGCAGAACTGAGAATTGTGAGTTTTGTCCCAAGCTCTCACCACATATAACTTATTATTACAATTCTTGCACATGATCAGAGCTTGCAACAAAAATAAATGGCATCTTAGGTCTCCGTAGTGAGAAGCAAGGGATCTTTAAATAACACAGTGGCAAAGATCACTGTTGGCAAATCCTGT